GGGTAAGGTCGCCCTGCTCGTTGACGAGGCCGCCCAGGTATCGGAACTCGGTCGTCTGTGCGTACCTTTGCCCCGCTGCTTCGATGGTCAGCACCGGCGGTGGCGGCGGCGGCGGTCGCTGTCTCTCCTTCACCCGCATCACCAGGGTCTCCGTCTTCCTCTCCGACACCGTCAGCCCGAACTCCCGGAACACCTCCACGATAATGGTCATCATCCTCGCCAGGCCGTCGGCGGACTTCGACACAACGCCGGCATCGTCGGCATATAGCATCCCACAGTATCTCACTATAATAAGAGAATATTCTCTTATATCGTAGACAAAACTAAAGGTCGTGAAACAGGGACTCTCGCGCACTGACTACACTCGAATGCCAAAATAGGTCATGAAGAGAGCGTATCATGCATGTCACTTGCGCAGCTAGCGTTACCACGTCGGGCTACCTCCAAACACCGCTCATTCTCTTGGTTGGCAAGCACGTGGACCCAAGTACTGCTGTACGTGGTACGCTTTTGGTGGATCTGCGTTCGGAAAATAAATCATCGTTGTGTGATGCGATGCAAATTTTGCACGTGGACACGTAAAAGGTTGTTGGTTGAGTTGTTTTATAGCTGTGTTTCATAGTCGCACCTCTTCTACAAGCACAACACGAGGCAACCAATGCACCAGCACTCAAGAACGACGCACCCGTTTACACAATGCACCCCTTCCTCCCACCGTACCCTCAACATAACACCCTCATATCTCTCATCCCATCGATTTAAACCCCCGACAAAAACACAAGTCAACGAAAAAACAAGAGCTTCACAATATCAAAACATCACTCGCCGTACGAATAACGCAAACCCAAGAAACCAACGGGAGGACAGGCAGTTGTGGCAGATGCGATGCATCTCGGAGGTGCCCTGAGGGTCCACCACACCACAGGTGCCATGGATGTACTGCCCGCAAACTCCTCTACATTGGTGATTTGTGAACGCCGGCGGGCCTGGCGTGTGATCG